CTGCGGTATACGCTGTGTTTTTCATGTCTCCTAAGACTGAAAGTGTAGGAATCCCTCCGGTTGAGTGCAGTGTAGAGAGTAACATGACTCTCCTCCTCCTGTTGGTGCGAGCGAGCGGTCAGTCACGTGTGTGTGACTTACGCGATCGGCAACCGGATGGGCGATGGGCTCTGATTGGTTAGCTAGCCCAGTGTGTTGTGATTGGCTAAATCGCCTCTAGTGTGCGTCTTTTCCCGAGGGTGGGGTTTATCTGGGTTTGTAATGTCACGAACCCGGGAAGTAACTTCTTGTAGTCCCTACCAGCCGGTCAGTCACGTGTGTGTGACTTACGCGATCGGCAACCGGATGTTTTTTGTCTTATTGCAACTCTTCTCTGTTCTGGACTTGCACAAACTGCGTTGCAATGCAATCATTTTCCAAAATGTCATTTATAGGAAAATATCTGTCTGTAAAAAAAAAAAATCTTCAGAAAAGTTTACGTGGTATTTTCTTTTCATCTCGTCTCGGTATAGTTCATATTAAAGTAGTGTTTCAGCGAAGAGCTGATTTGTTTACTGGGGTAACCAAGGAAACGCCGTATGGGGTGTTCCTGAAGCACCTCCTGCTGTCAAAGAGTGAATCTGCGTCTCATTCAGAGCTTCTGCTAACTGTCCCACTTTATAGAACAGCCTTTGAGCACAGACCCATTATAAGCTACTCTGCAGGTTCAGGAAACAGTCCTCCATAAAATGCGTCACACAGCATCACACACTGCGGGCTTGAGTGAGCGGCGGCCCGTGGGCTTGAGAAAAGCGTGGCCAGTGGATTCAGCGAAGGAGCGGCCTGCGGGCTTGCGGCAACCACATGTGATGACCCCGGGCTGGACTCCGATTCTGTTTTTGCTTAAAATTGGGTTATTATTAAATCAAATTATGTATATGAAATGTATATGAATTATATAACTAAAATTAAATAACTGTAATTACAGATTTAGGTTAAATAAAGATGTCAGTGTTTATTTTTCTTCTTTTTAGGAAACGAATCAAAGGAAAAATAAACAAATTCAACTGTTCATAATATTCTGTATGTTGCTCAAAAACAAAATATATTGTGTTCAGTGGAAAAAGTTTTTTTTTTTTTTTTTACTTTATGCACCAAGAGCTTGTAACACTCCAAAGAGAAAGGAAAAATTGAAATCGCATCATATAACCCCTTTAAGAGTAGGCTAACTTTAAAAAACAAGTACTAGTATCATAGATACTAGTCACTCTAATGGAATAGGCCTATTACATATTAAAACGGCTTGCCATAGCTGAGGTTCCTGCTGTGAAGCTCGTGTGTGTGTTTCCCTCTGGCCGGAGCACAACTACAGGCGGAAGTTACAGGCGCTTGTGTTGGTGAGGTGAACATCTCCCATGGTGAGAACGTGAAAAGCAGCGTAAAGGATAAACAGCAGGCGTTTGTGACGATTTTAACATCAGCACATCATATATGTGGACGCGGTGGATTTATTTTCCCTTCCTGCATTGGCAGACTGCTGGTTTTCGTCGATAAAGGCAGACTGTGAAGCTCTCACAGTAACTAACACACGCGCTTTGATTGGAACGTTCAGACACTCTGTTACATTGATACATTGTGGCCAAACGGCGCGTTTCCGACTCTTTTTAATTCGCTGAAGCGGGAGAGAAGAAACATTCACTTTATTCAGCGATGACTCGATTGGGTTTAACATAACTGCTAAATCACGTATGTGACTTACACAACAGCCAACCTAGTGCCTTTTATTTTGGGGTTTTGCACTGGATTTACATTGTAAGTGACAGAGATGGCAGACAGCGGTCGGGTGAAGCACGACAGCCCGAGCTCGAGCCCCGGACCCAGAAGAAAAAGGACGCAGCAGTCGCCCGGTTCAAAGGCGCGGTATTCGGTTAACGCTCCCGGACACTGCTTTCGGAGAGTGACCCTGACCAAACCGACCTTCTGCCATCACTGCAGCGACTTCCAACTTTACAGATCTTCTTTATGCACCAAGAGCTTGTAACACTCCAAAGAGAAAGGAAAAATTGAAATCGCATCATATAACCCCTTTAAGAGTAGGCTAACTTTAAAAAACAAGTACTAGTATCATAGATACTAGTCACTCTAATGGAATAGGCCTATTACATATTAAAACGGCTTGCCATAGCTGAGGTTCCTGCTGTGAAGCTCGTGTGTGTGTGTTTCCCTCTGGCCGGAGCACAACTACAGGCGGAAGTTACAGGCGCTTGTGTTGGTGAGGTGAACATCTCCCATGGTGAGAACGTGAAAAGCAGCGTAAAGGATAAACAGCAGGCGTTTGTGACGATTTTAACATCAGCACATCATATATGTGGACGCGGTGGATTTATTTTCCCTTCCTGCATTGGCAGACTGCTGGTTTTCGTCGATAAAGGCAGACTGTGAAGCTCTCACAGTAACTAACACACGCGCTTTGATTGGAACGTTCAGACACTCTGTTACATTGATACATTGTGGCCAAACGGCGCGTTTCCGACTCTTTTTAATTCGCTGAAGCGGGAGAGAAGAAACATTCACTTTATTCAGCGATGACTCGATTGGGTTTAACATAACTGCTAAATCACGTATGTGACTTACACAACAGCCAACCTGGTGCCTTTTATTTTGGGGTTTTGCACTGGATTTACATTGTAAGTGACAGAGATGGCAGACAGCGGTCGGGTGAAGCACGACAGCCCGAGCTCGAGCCCCGGACCCAGAAGAAAAAGGACGCAGCAGTCGCCCGGTTCAAAGGCGCGGTATTCGGTTAACGCTCCCGGACACTGCTTTCGGAGAGTGACCCTGACCAAACCGACCTTCTGCCATCACTGCAGCGACTTCATATGGGGGATTGTCGGGTTTGTTTGTGAAGGTAAACGATGCTTTATGGATTCACTTGGTCGGCAGGTTCCATTCAGCAAAGCAATGTCAACAAAGCGTCTTTAAATTCTCTTGTGCTAAATTTACACCGAAAAGGTGGTACAGAAGCGCTTTTGAAGTGGTATTTAGGTGTCTTTACAGACTGTTTAATGCTGCTCAGATGTGAAAAATGCATATGCGATATATATGATAGTGCTAAATGAATACTCTTAAATAAACAATATTTGTCAGTTGACCGTTTAATGCATTTTACATCACTTAACCATTTATTTTAAAGTGAACGCATCTGATTTGATTTCAAATAGAATTTTCTCATACCAGTTTGATTGACAGATTATGATCGGTGCATGTGCCGTCCTGGAAAGCGAAGGAATGAAGCAGGTAATGTTTAAAAAAAAAAAAAAAAAGCAAGCAGGATGTTCAGCATTTCTCTCTCTCCTCCACACCTCCCTCTCGAAAGAATGATCGAATAGGCTAGCTTTTATACTAAGTGGGGAAGACAGATTGATGCAGATTCGATCCAACACACTCCTCCTGTTGGACAGGAATCCGTGATTGGCTGGTCATGTGCAGGAGGACACTTTGATGAGTTCCAACTGATGGAGGCCGGTGACCATGTGAGAAGATCTGTACTATTCTCACTTCAGTCAGTTAGATGTTTACCATATGTGTTTTTCTTTACAGAGCTGCTTATTTGAGTTACAAATAAGCAAGTAGTTGTTTAGCATGTTAGATTAGACTTTAATCCAAAGCAGTCCTTCTTAACAAACCTCAGTGATGCCCAGTGGTAATGGTTCAATGATTTCCTTTTGCAGGATTCAAGAGTACAACCGACAGCCCAGCTTACAATTAATTAAGGCAAAAAAAAAAAAAGATGCAAAAGAACCATAGCTGTGGTTCATATGACTCTTCGAGTATATTCCAAGTTTTCAGAAGTCATACAGTATCTTTGTGTAATGAGCAAATCAATATTTGACCGCAATGGCTGCAAACAAATAATTGAATAAGTGAATTGAACTTGACTACTGGATTAGGTCATTTAGTGAATGACTCATTCACTTCTTCTCTCATAAACTCTGATGAATGCAAGTTAGGGTGGATACCAGTCTTTTCAATTAATAAAAACTTAAATTTGCAATACAGAGTATGATTTCGGAATACATAGTACATGAGTCATATGGACAACTTTTATGATGCTTTTGTGTCATTTATGAAGCTTTTATTTATTGTAGTGCATGGGGGAAAAGCACCAGTTTTATCTCCTTTTGTATTCAGTTCTGGGTTAGTAACTCTTGGCTTTGCAGAATCTGTGATAGAGTATCCTCTCTAAAGACCAGCCAGAGTATAATCTATGGCTGAACTGATTTCTTTTGAATCTTTATGAGAATTTATCACAATGATGCTGAGCTGTATGTTTTAATTTTTTATGTGAAAATGACAGCAAAATAATCATAATGGAGCCAAATCCCCTTCCATCTGATTTCTATATGTAAAACATGTTTTTTCCTCATGCACATAGAGTGATTGAAATCTAGATCAGTCTTGCCCTTTTTTGCCCTGTTGCTGTTTCCTAGGTAGATTTTAATCCACTATGTTATGCTGTTCACCAGGGTTTCACTACAGGCCCTGTATGAATGATTCTGGCAGATTCAAGCAGCATTACTTTAGAGACAAGTGGACTGGATTTATGTGGCCGTGAGATTGTCAGGGCAGGATGTTGATTGACAAATGTGGATGTTACAAGGCAGAGTTAGGCAGAAATGAGACGTTTCTGTTACGTAATGTTGCTGCAGTGAAGTCGTGATTGACTCTTCCAGGTTGGCATGGCAACACATAGTCCAGTGGAGCGAGGCGGCAGGCTGGATGCTGTAGCCAGATGGACCAAGAGAGAGTAGAACATAAACACACGCATGCTCTACATTGTCATTCGTATTGTGTGTTTATTGCATTGGTGAAGAGACTAGTAACATGTCAGGCTTAGACTAATGAATTAACGTACTTATTAAATTGTATTCATGACTGCTGTTTTTAAATGCAAGACATGACTATAGTCTCTTGTTATGATCGACTGATATAATGCAGATAAACAAGACGTACTTAACATTTCTAAAATTAGGACTTATTTTAGTGAAAACTAAATTCACATAAATACTTGAAAGCAAAATATGTGCATTATGGTATACTGATGCACATAAATGGAAATTCTTGTTCGAACACGAAAAGTGCTAGCATTAAAGTAGTCACTAGTTGGAATAATTGACCATTCTATAATGTAAAAAAAAAAATATTATGTAAAAATATAATAGTAATTTAAGTCTTTGTATTGTACTAACTTATTTTAATTGGTGTGGCTTTAAAATAGGCTCTATCAATTTTTAAAGTTTTGCATAGCAGTCTTGTTTAAAGTCAGTATTACATTAATCAAATTCTAAATATCAAGATGTCCATAAAATAACTTTCAACATTATTTTTGGATATAACGCATAAAGCAATTATGAATCGGCTTGTAAACAAGAGGTCTATCTTGGAAAATCCAAATATGTTTTAAATACATTTTTAATAAGTATTTCAATTGTGCATGCACAACTATTTACATTACCGTACTATTTAATTATGATTAAAACGGAATAATTCAAAATCTAAAGATTTTTGGCCTACTGTGAAAAACGATAACATTAAAATAGTAAAATGGTATCAAAATTAACTGGTTTTATTCAAGTCAGAAATATTTTTAACATCACCGAATCAACTTAAATATATTCACTTATTCAAACTAAATCAATATATATGGGTTAAATGAGGTAGAAATAACTCTTTATGGTAACAGTTGCAAAATACAGTTGGCATTGAAATTTTGGTCATTGAAAATTAAATTGAGAGAATTTAGAAAAAAAATAAATAAAAAATAGAAAGACAGTTTATACAGTAAAGGTATATATTGTCATTCTAATTTTAATTAGTTTTTTTTTTTTTTATCAAAATTTTCTGAAAAATTACTTTTTAATTTTCAGTGGTCAAAATGTGTGTGTACCCCTAGAATTCGCCACTGACTTCCTATAGATTTTGGAATTAACATGAGGTGAAACTCCGGCTACATATTCTGTCACTAGTGTTTTGCATGTTAGACTTAACAAAAATGTTGCTAAAACAGTTTCATGGTTCATATGACAAAGGTTTGTGTTGAACAGACTTTGTGATTTCCTTAACAGCATGTGCATGTAGTTTCTAACTGTTTCTGATTTCACAAGAGTGGTAGGCTTTAGAGTGTGCGTGAGAACGCGTCTGTGGTACAGTAAACTTTAGAATGTTTTCCTTGCTCTTGTGGTTGTGATAGTGAGAGGAGCTCTGCCTGACCAGCGAGATCACTTCCTGTCTCTGGTAAGCATGAAAAGCAACAAATGCATCAGTGAGGTTCAGTCTGTACTGAGGGCCAAAGTGGGCTCTGACAGCACCTTAAATTGGGCACACAACGATCCAGCGGTCAGTGCTCTTGTCTTTCGTGCAAATTGTTCTTTTGAGCAGTAAATGCTGTTGCTTGATGTTTGAAAATCTTTGTGAAATTTCACCTAGTCATAGGTTGACTACTATTTTGCAATTCATTTTGGTATTATAAAAGATTTATTATGCACTGAATTCAGTTCTGAATTGTGAAAATTACGACATGGTACACTGGGCTGAGAGTGGACTGCTGAGAAAGAATGGCAAGTTTTCTTTTTGCTTAAGCTGCTGAACCCACATATCTTGGCAATATAATGCACCATAATTCTGTGGCCTGCACTAAATCTCTCTCTTTTTTTCCCTGCAGTGTGTAACTTCATGTCACATGAGAAGTGTTTGAAGCACGTCAGGACCATGTGTTCCTGTATGGCTCCCACACAAGTTCAGGTGAGAAAAACATGCCACATATGACAGGGTAGACAAACATTAACTTTATGGGTAGATCTCATGAAAATTGTAAAAAAACATAATCAGGTCATATTTAAAAAGTTGTATGATTTTTCACCTTTGAGACTTTTATTATATTATAGTGTTACTTTTTATTTTGCATTTATCGGTAAAAACACTCCATTACAAAAATGAGAATCTAATGGAATTTTTTAAATAAAAAAATATAATAAAATAAAAACATTTTAAATATTATTAAAATAAAAATAGAAATATATTTTAAATAAAATAAACTTAAATTATTCTTAAAGTCAAACATCTAAATACATTGAGAAAAAAAAGGTTATAATGGTTTTATAAAATAAATGTGCTTCATTGTCTTTGTACAAAATATGTTTTCTTTTTTTGTGAATGTAACTTGGACATGATCTTATGCGATTCACCCTTATTGGATATTACACTTATAAGGCAAGACCAGGTTGCTTTCACTAACAGCATTATTGAGGCATCACAACGCTGGATGGATGCTCTTGATGAAACGTCTTGAACAATCATGCTGTTAATGAAGAATGATCAAGCTGTTTTGCAGGGTATGATCATGCAAGAACGATCATAATTAGCAGTTGATGCTTTACCTGTCTTATCCGTGGCTTTGCATTACAAACAGGAAGTACATTACACCCTGAATCTCCATTGAATTATTTAGTCCTCATATACTGACTGGAACCGTTTTGCTCAGTGACACAGCAGTCAGTGTAGCCCTTTGTCCGGCCTTCATAATGAATTACTGATGACTTCCAGCCGTGTTGTGGTCTTTCATGAAGGCCAAGTGTCAGCCAGCCTTTGTGCCTTTTGATAGCAGCTCTCCTAGCAATCTAGAGCTTTATCATAACAGCCTAGAACGGACGTTTTTGTTGTTTATCTCTATGTGCGGATATAATGCAGGGCCATCATTGTCCCGTGCACGGGGTGAGGAGGCCCACTTATACAAATTTTGTCCCAATCCCTATGAATTTTAGCAGTGGCCTTGGTGATATGAACATATTGTGTTGGCATGCTGATTTGGTTTGTTACACTTTGCTCTAGAATATTTGATTCTGTTTGCTAGTCACATTTGGGGTGGTCAAATTTTTTTTCCCACCATTGTTCATAGTAACTTGCTGGTGATACTTTAATGTATTTTGTATCAATCTTGATGTGTGACATTGTGGCTAAATGTCGTACAGTAGCTAGCTAATTAGTCCATAGAATAAATACTTGTGTGTATAGTGTGTTTTTTATTTCTATATATTTCTATATTTATATTCTATATAAATTTCTAAACAATTCTATATATTTGTTGTATATTTTATTTTTGTTTTATATTTCTGTATAGCTTAAAAATGTTTATTTATTTATTTTCATTTTTTTTTCATCTAATATTTATATCTTATTTTATTTAAGCTTTATTTCAATTATTGAAAACCATTTTTATTAGTTTTTGTTTTAGTTAACAATGACAACTGTGCTTGTCTGATTGCTAAACCAGTTATTTATGGCATTGTAATGGACACATTTTTACTAGATTAAAGATTAAATAGTTAGATTAAATAATTAAATTAAAATCAGGAACTCATGTCCATGTATTTATTTATTTGTCATTTAAAAGGTAATTAATTAATTGGGACTAGAATGTAATAAGTGAGATTTTTAATAAGTCAGGATTTTTTTTCCATAATAATGACTAAACTGTACTTTATGTATTGATTGTATCAATCAGATATACAAAAAGGCTTTAAAGAGTTGCTTTGGCTTGAAGAAAATCTGCTAAATATAAAATAGGATGTACATTTAGCATGAAACAATGAACAGTTCTGGTTAACAGCATGTGATAAAGTAACCTCATGAGATGCTCGCTGCTTGGAAACTGCATCCTCTCAATGTGCTGATGCTACATGTGTTGCCGCATCAGGGCTCAGTTCACAGCAAGAAAAGTCTGCCTTGCTTTAGCCAAATGGCACAGAGGTGACACCGACTCAGTAGCCCCTCACTCAGAACAAAGATCCAGGGGGCGGGGGTGGAGATGGGTGGGTTTAGGGATCAGGGGGTGGAGACGGGTAGGTTTAGGTATATGTAAGGTGGGAGGAGTTGGATCTGGATCCAACCTTGCCCCCTGGATCTTGTGTTCTGCAGTGAGGACCATATCCACAGACTGGCCAATTGCATCAGAGCAGCCGCAGGGCATGACAGGAGGCTGAGTCAAGCACCATGCCACAGCAAAACATAATTTAGACCGAAAGATAATGAGGTGGAACAGAAACCATTGGTCTGAATGAAAGACGGGCCTTCAGAGACTCTTCTGGAAGTTTGCCTTCATACTTAATGCATGCAGAGACAAACAAGAAAGTGCATGCAGTGTTTTTATTCTCTTTTTCTAGTTTATTTGGCTGGAAGACTGATGTGTTCAGTTTGAAAAGGAAATGGATGTGACTTTTTTTTATAAACTGGCTGAAGACTTTTCTCAGCTCTGTGTGTGTGTGTGTGTGTGTGTGTGTGTGTGTGTGGGTGTTGTAGGAGTGGGTCAGTATCCGAGCCAACTGCTCCATTAACCTTTACTCAACAACCTCACTGAACCAATGTCACGATTATGTTCAGTTTAGTTCAGTTCCTGTCATGTCTTACTCTGTTATGAGCGCTCATTAGTTACCATGGTTTCTAATTAGTTAATCCTTGTCCAGCTATCCCTGTTTAGTTCCCTCATTTACCATGTGTGTAGTCCTGATTCTGTTCTTTTTGGGTTATTATCTTGTGTTGTGTTGTTCTACACCCGTGTTCTCAGTAAAGTCTTCTTTGAAGTTTGAATCTCACGCCTGTATTCCTCGTTCCTCGACAGCTCGTGACAACGCATCTGAGGAAATACGAACACAACAGTTGCAGCCATTCGACACTGTTATTACTGAAAATCGAGAATATGTCCTTTAAGACTCGAAAAAGTTTTGAATAGTTATGTATCACTTGTGAATAAGTGGAAATAATTTGTTTAATAAATTTGAAATCAAGAAATCATGCGCACACAACACATTTAACTTCTGAAATGTGACAGATTTCCTTATGAAACAAAACATATTGGCAAGATAAAATGTAGGGTTATGTTAGTGGAAAAGTAAGGTCATTTAAGGGTTAGCAAAAGTAAATTTAATGAAGTTGTGAAATAACACTTTTCTGTAGAATAACTTGCACTGTTGAAACGTACAATAAGGGATCAGTGTTATTTTAGTACAGGGTTTCTGAGTCTTAAAAAGGTCTTAAAAAGTTTTAATTCGCCTTCCACAAATTAAGGCCTAAAAAGGTCTTAAATCGGAGCAGAAAGTCCTAAATTCGTAAAATCATGGCATTAAATGTTGCATGCACTAAAAAAAAAAAAAAAGAATATCTTCTAGTATTTTTGTTTTGTTTTCCAGTACAAATATCTAAACATCAAGATACATTTACTTGATGCAAATTGAACATGAAGTCTTCTTTTCTGAGAAATAATAATAAATAAAAAAAATGTGAGTTTATGCATAAAGCAAGAACAAATATGGCTATGGGGTATGAAAATCTTGAAATTAAGCTGATTGAGACTATTGGCAGATATTTGTTATTGTTTTAGTTATAAACTTGCCTAATTTTATAATTTTCTTATAAATATTGACATTGTTCCATTCAATTTATTATTTTACTTGGTCTTAACTTTATCATTATAAAACCTGCATAAACCCTGTAGTAGTATTTATATGCTATTATAGTATCTATTATATTATGTATTATAGTAGCTTTTATTTTTATAGTTTCCTTTGTAATTTTTGTTTAAGTTTTTGTATTTTTTTTCTGTGCTTTTGACATTTTTATTAGTACTTTAAAAAAAATGTTTAGCTTTGATTTATTTTTAATTTATTATTAAACTTACTTGGAAACATTATTATTATTTCTAATTTTCTGTAAAGTTTTTTGAGTTCAAGTTTTGTATTTTATTTTATTTCGGCTTTATTTCAATTATTAATTCAGTTAATAATTTTAGTTTTAGTTAGCAATAACCACTGCCAGGGACATTTAGTAGAGACATAAATTGAGTCATTTTTAATTTGATGTTGTCTTTAAAGTAATTACTCACAATTTAGGTTTGATGAATCACGAATCTTAATCGATAATATGAATATCAATCAAAACAACAAAAAGAGTGAAAGCTTTATATATTACATATAAAGACTAGCAAAACCAAGCATCATTTTTCCATCCATTTTTTCCAAAAGCACTATTTCAGTTTTAGTAGAGTACCTCAGCAGTAGCCAGTAGCCACAGAGCAGTGGGCAGCCATTTTTGCTGCCAATCACTTTGGGATCAGAGAGATGGGCTAATGACAGGAAACAAGGTCACGTCCGGTAGGATGCTCTGCAGTCTACTGTAGTGACTCCCCTGGGAGGCCAAGAGCCAGTGAGGATGTGCAGCTCAAGGACACATGCCGTAGGGGGTGTGTGTGTGTGTGAGAGAGAGAGAGAGAGAGAAAGAGAGAGAGATGGAGAGAAGTGAAGTGAAGTGGTGTCCCATACTCGTAATTTGTGCTCTGCATTTAACCCATCCAAGAGCACACACTCAGCAGTGAGTAGTGAACACACACACACACACACACACACCCAAAGCAGTGGGCAGCCATTTTTGCTGCGGCTCTCTCTCTTAAGTCCGACTCTCTTAACCATTAGGCCACGACTGCCACGGAGAGGGAGATGTGTGTGTGTGTGTGCTTGTATGGGGCCTCATCATCAAAGATTTGATTACTTCGGCAACCTTAAACACAAAACCTCGCCATATTTTCCTCTGTATTACGTGGAATTATATTTTTGTCCCTAGAGTTTAGGTATTTTCTGTGCAGTGGCTGTATTTTGGATCGTGACATTTCTCAGCATTATGAAAATGTTGACAGTCCAGGCTTCTAAACAGCTGTTCCGTGTCTGTGAGCTCACAGACATCAGCGAGTTCGATTTCTGGCTCCTTCACAAGCGTCTAAATAGCCTGATTTGCTTGAGCAAATGTCAAGCTATTTTTCTTTGTGTTCTCAAGCCATATATCCAGATACTGAGTGAAGCACCTAATCTATCCCATCGTACACTGTGCTGTGTTCTGTCGTGAGAACGTCAGCCCCTAAATGTCACTTCATTTTTTTTTTCACTGATGTTGACAGGTCTTCCTAGCTGCACAGTCCCCTGCCTTTTTGCAGTACTTGCATGTTCACTATCAGAGAAAAACATAGTTGCTTTTAGGGGTAAAACAGCTTGTCACTGGTCCAGTACCCTCAAAGAGGCACCTTTGCTTCTATTAGTATGTTAAGGGTATGGAAAAAAAATACTATGGACAGTAACAGTTACCGTCAACTGTTTGTTTTGGAGTAAACGATGACAGAATTTTCATTTTTGGGTGAACCATCCCTTTAATAATAGTATAGACTATTTGAGGTTACATAAGTTTGGGGTATACACTTTTTTTTAATAGCTACTAATTCAAAATGTTATTTAGCATAGATGCATTAAATTAATCAAAAGTGAAAGCAAAGACATTTAAAATGCAAAATATTTTTATTTCAAATAAATGTTCTTTTGAACTTTCAATTTATCAAATAATCCTGAAAAACATGGTTTCCACAAAAATATTAAGCAGCTAACTGTTTTAAACGTTGATCTTAATACTGTTTCTTGAGCACAAAATAGAAGAATGATTTCTGGAGGATCATGTGACACTGAAGTGATGAATGCTGAAAAATCAGCTTTGCCATCACATTAATAAATTACATATTAAAATATATTAAAATAGAAAACAGTTATTTTAAATTGTAATAATTTTTGCTACAATATTACTATTCTTACTGTATTTTTATCAAATAAATACAGCCTTGGTGAGCATGAGAGGCTTCTTTCAAAAACATACTCAAACAAATTTAGTTTCACAGTGTTTCTTTATAGTGTCCTCTGAATTTTAGCTGGGTATGAGAAACTGGGATGGGGACAAAATGACACACTCCACCTTTAAGAATGCTTAATGGAAATGTTCAGCAGCATAGACATCCTAAAGGGAGTTTTCCGCCAATTAAAGGGAGTTTTTCCTGTGTGGGAGAATTACAAGGATGTTTTTTTTGTAGCATGGCGAATGAAGATCAGCTCAAGAGCATGTCTCTCTAGATTTTACTCACCCAGACGTCTTGGACGATTGGTTTGGTAACAGAACACCCCTCTAACCACTTATTCACCAGCCCACCAAAGTGTTTGTAGAATTATTTACCAACCTGCACATCAAGCAGCCAAAGACCTGGAGATATTTATCCAGAGCAGGCACAGTGCTGCCCGTTCAAGAGAGAGGAAATGGGAAGGAGAAGGCAGAAAGACTGATATCTTCTCCCCTGTTTCTGTGCAGTCACAATCTGCTGTGTGATTCAGAACGTGTTCCCGTGAAATCAGTTGTTACAGATGGACACACGCAACAAGACAGCCCGGCTGGGATTTGTCACTGCATCCCTTCACTATATCAGAACAGTTTGCTCTGGGTCTTTGAAAGCTCCAGCCAGGCTCACATTAAAGTTGTATCCTGGATGTTATTTAGCTGGATTCCATTTCCAGTTACAAGTGGGTATCTTTACGTACTTTGTGATTCCATTTGATTCATTTCAATCAGTCACAGTCCAATTCCAAAGTGATTCTCAATGCATCTGATTTTTTCTTGTTTTCAGTGTAAATGCACTGTTTTACAGTATACATGCTGCTGCAGACACATACCATTTTGTCTTATGTATACTTTTTCTTTTTTTTTTAAAAATCAAATGCTGAATTTGTGTGGATCGATCCAGAATCATTTGAAAATTAATAATGATGCATTGGTGCAAAATGGAAAATGGCACTTACATATTCTTTTTTTTTTTTTTTGTATGCAATAATGATCCAAATGGTTTCCTTGATCCGATCACAGTACATTATACTTAGTTTTTCAAGTGTTCATGTGCTATCTGATTATGAAACGATCAACCAAAATTGCATGTTAGATGTAAAGGGGGCTTCTATAGGAAGTAAATGTGTGAAAGGAAAAGGAGAACCACTCACAGACCATTTGGCTTTTCTTTGATTGCATTTAAATTGCATATGTTTGTTTAAACAGGTTAAATGCTTTTAAATATAATGCTTGAATACACTCTAACAGAGGAAAGATTAGGTTTCAGTGTTGTATTACGTTCACTTATCTGAATGTACTTATTTACTGTAAGCTGAAATTGGACATCTAAGAATGGCCCATGTGGTATATGGCACTTCTTGTTCTATATTCTGTTATTTTGACAAATGCTATACATTGAAACTTTCCTTTTTTAGGTGGTTCTTTATGGTCTGCAATAGGGCTGTGCGATTTTGAAGAAAAATGTGATATGCGATACCTTGTTAAAAAATGCTATATTCGATATGCGATACCATATTGCTTAAAGTGTGAAAAATCAATTTCAATTATATTTTAAAATATTTAAAAATTAAAATTATATAGCCAATTTGTTTCACATTCTTTCTTGGAAAAGAAAGAATCACTATAACTTCTGAAAGTGACCAGCAGTGTTTTAGCAGTACATAAAAAGTAATGTCACAAATCAGAAAATGTCATTTTAACATCAGTGTGAACATACAAACAAAAAAAATTAATGACACTAATTTTATATAATTGTAACTTTGCTTTCCATACACTTTTAAGTACTTCTTCATATACCACAGCAAAAACTATAGTCTGAGAAAGTTCAAACATGATTAAAGGCAAGTGAGCAGTCAGTAAAAAAAAAAAGAAAAAAAAGAAATGCACGTTACAAGCATAGATAATATAAACAGTAGTATTCAGATACAGAAATTTAATAATTAAGTGTAAAATAACACTGCATAGTGTTCACTGTATGAATTAAATTTAGATTAATCTTTGTTATAGCTGTTTTGTAGTTTGGTTAACATTAGTGACATATTCAGCAGCACGTATTTATAGGCTGCTGTCCTTTTAAATCCGACTGCACGGATCCAGTATAATGATACACATCCGATTTCTTTCTCAGCTGTTTGCATTAATTTAAAATATAACTGACTGCGTTTACGAGAATGATCATCGAGACGATACATTTGCGATATTTCGATAATTTCGATATATCGTGCAGCCCTAGTCTGCAACACAATCAGATCCTATTATTCATTTCCATGGGGAATCTTTAGCTCTTTGCTGGTACATGAGGTCAAAAAGAAAAGACATCAGCTATTTAAATTCTAAATGCCCTCTGCATTTCTACTCCCCTCCCCCAGACAGGAAGGAAGTTCGTGCATCATGCTTTCCCACCATTCACTCCACTCTAACAGGAAGTGATGTCACACAGAGGTACATACAGATCGGGCAGTGCTCACTGGCACATAACTAGCCCATTAGTCATGTCTGATTTGTGATTAAATAGTTAGAATAAACCAGTTATTTTTAATTACTCTGTCAAATTGGTTTGCAAAACTGAGACCTTTAGGTAAAATGGTATGCAGATGACTAGGCACAGATGAAATATGCCGACACATTTCCTTGCGGTTTTTGAGATAAAATCTCAAAACATGGCAAAATGTGTTAAACTGCAGAACCTGAGAAATCTACTGAGTAGGGTGTAGATTTCTTGTGGGCCTGGAAATGACTCAAACAGATCACTGAATCATTTTGAACCTGTTCTTTGAAACCTAATGATTTGTTAAAGTGAATCAGACCTCCCAGACAATGTGAACATAACCGTGTGAGTTAGTTTCAGTTTCAGCGCAATGTGCCCTTCAAGTAGAGTTGGAAATATTGTAATGACAAGTTTCAAGCACATGAATGACCAATCAAAGTTGTATTTACAAATGGGAAACTCACAATTCTAGATGATGCACAAGTTGCCGAGTTGTGATGTTGGCAGGGCTGTATCGATTTGAAACATGGCGGAAACACTGATCTATAATATAGGTGATATTGCATCTTTAATCCATATAGAGATCAGTTAGTGAAAACCAAGTCTTTTGCACATGGTGTTAATCACTCAATATTCACGGTTTGCTTCACATACAGCTGTGATGCCATGTATACTTAAGTGATAGAAATTAATATTTTTCTTTTTGTATTTAGATGTAATCAGTAGCTGAAAACAAAGCAAAAAAATTATATTGTGAATAATAGATGTTCACAATATCATTATTTTGTTTTGTTTTTTAGATACTTCAATGTTATGATTCCGACTTGAACGCATGACCTGTTGTAATAACGAACGCCTGACTCGGAGGTACGAGTTTTGCTGGTGCACTTGAAGGCAGTGCAAGTCTCAGATTTATTGTATTAATCATTCTTCTCCTTGTTTGTGGTATAGGTTCCTGTAGCGCACTGTTTCGGTCCCGCCGGCCAGAAGAAGAGGTTCTGTTGTGTTTGCCGAAAGCATCTGGAAGGCAGTTCAGCTCTGCGCTGTGAAGGTGTGTGTGTTTTTCTTTTTTTCTACAGTATGATGGCATCAGGATGTTTTCACCCTAGTAATGATTCCAATCACTTTATTTAAGGGCATTGATCACATGACATGAGCTGACTTTGCCACAAAAAGAATACCAAACCTGTCCAAATAAACAAATTTTGGCTCAATTCTGACCATTTTTCTGTCAGAATGAATGCATTTCAAATAGGTTAGTCAATCATAACAGAAGTAATTTACATTTTGTCTTAAAGGGATAGTTCACCCAAATAAAAATTCAGTCATGATTTACTCTCCCTCTTTTTGTTCCAAACCTGTATGACCATCTTTTTTCAGTGGAACATAAAAGAAGATTTGTGTGTGTGTGTGTGTGTGTGTGTGTGTGTGTGTGTGTCTATACTATGGAAGTAGTTTGGCTACCATCATTCTTCAAAATATAGAGTGAATAAATGATGAAAGAATTTATTTTTTTGGTTGAACTGTCCCTTTAAAGCTGTAGTAGCAAAAGCAGTCTGTTTAATTATAAGGGTCAGAGAGAGGGTGGAAAATGTTCATGTTAAATTAAATTACAGTCTCGGGAAAATAACCAAAATTGCTAGAAAGGTGTAGGTGTGGCCTATTGAAAGTCTGTCAGTTGCTGTTGGTTAGATATTTTTTCCTTGCTGATATACTTTAAAGGGATAGTTCACCCAAAAATTAAAATTCTGCCATTAATTACTCACTCTCATGTCGTTCCAAACCTGTAAGACCTTCGTTCATCTTCAGAACAAAAATTAAGATATTTTGAATGAAATCCAAGAGCTTTCTGACCCTGCATAGACAGCAGTGCAACTACCACGCTCAAGGCCCAGAAAGGTAGTAAGAACATCGATAAAATAGTCTATGTGACATCAGTGGTTCAAGAGTAATTTTATGAAGCGATGAGAGCAATTGTTTGTGCTCAAAAAAACTAAAGTTTGTTTTAAAAAATAGTTGTTATTTTTGTCTGCGCACGTAACTCAAAGCTTCATAACATTATGGTTGAACAACTGATGTCACATGGACTGTTTTAATGATGTTCTTACTACCTTTCTGGGCTTTGAACGTGGTAGCTGCATTGCTGTCTATGCAGGGTCAGAAAGCTCTCAGATTTAATCAAAAATATCTTAATTTGTGCTCCAAAGCTGAATGAAGGTCTTATGAGTTTGGAATGTCATGAGGGTGAGTAATTAATGACAGAATTTTCATTTTTGGGTGAACTATCCCTTTAAGATGGTTTACTGTTCAGGCTGGTTTGTTTTGCTGGTTTTAGAGGTGTTTTTTACAGTTCTTTCAGTTCTTTGACCAACTAAACTAGCATAGCCAGGCCAGCAACCCAAGCTTAAACAAGCTTAATGGATGAAACTAGGCAGATTAAAGCAGGTTCCCCCCCACAGTGTTATGGTTGTCTTCTGTGCTCAACGGCCTTTCTGCCTTATTTTAATAATCAGATTTTTTGTTTCTTCTGTTTCCTCAAACCATCTTGGTCTTTTATTTTATTAAATTTTTTAAAATTCTGTTATTGCTCATTTGTCTGTGCTGGTCGTCCCTGTTTGGAAAGCAGCTGTTGCCGAGGAAATGGCAGAATGGCCTTTTGCAGTGGGCTGAATTCTAAGAACCGAGCTGAAAAGAAAAACATTGCACTCCAACTCTCTCTTTCTATTTCTCTTCCTCTCTCTGTGCTTACAAAAGGCACAAATGAAGCTCAGAAGAAAAGTCAGTCTTTAATTCCCACGCCCACTCAAACATTTGTTACAGCAACATGAGTTCAGTGACTTTTTCCTCTAGCAGACCTGTAACACCTCACAGGCAGTACTAGTTCATTACATTTCCTCTGTCCTATGGAAATAAAAATGAATTTACCAACTGTTTTGCCTCATGTTTGCTTAGTGGATAAATCATACAAAGAGACTCCATGATCTTTCAGTAACCTCACCTCACATGTCTTTCAGTGTGTGAGCTACACATTCACAGCGACTGTGCCCCGTTCAGCGTTAGCGACTGTCGTGTCTGCCACCAAGATGGAGGGCAAGACGTTGTGAGTATGAGAACCAGGACTGCACCATCTACTGATGTATTAACCTGACTAAAGCCAGTACACCAGATAATAAAACCATGGCTGACCTCCACTTGCTTTTATTATATAAATATAAATTAACATAAATTGTTTTATTTCATAAATTAGAGCTTGCATTAACTGAACGTTACATAATTTACCAAATTTTAAAGTCATTGATGTATAATGCAAAATGATTTCTGGCATTTTGACAGATACTTATCTGGACTTTTCTATACTTCAGAAACGCTCCCACAGCAAAGGATTCTAATAGGGATTAGAATTGAAAAATAAGAAATATAATTTTATTTCCCCTTGAGAAAATAGGTTGTGACATAAGTGAGAATTGGAGAGAAAAACAAGAAACTCCAAGCTTACTCTAGTGGAATAATTCATAGGATGTTGTTTATTGAAATGGGTGACTAGATTGCAAGGTTGCAGCCTGTTTTCTTTTATATTTTCACCTTACAAGAGGCAGAATAATAAATAAAAAAAACACAGTGATTGATGAAACAAAGAGCTTTTGCCACTGAAGTTGTGATGTAAATGGCACAAATACAAAGCGTTACAACATTTTACTGACAAAAAAGAGAGATGGAAAATTTACAAGCCCCATCCACCTAAGTGATGGATAATAATTATATATAGTGCATCCTCTTAGGAACATCTGAGACGTGAAAAGGTGTAAAGGGCAAAAAAATCACTTCATTAGTCAAACAAGTTTGAAGACTGAAATTGTTCCCTAGTACTCAAGATAATTTACTTGATTAGAATATGATCGTCTTATAATTAGATTTACTTACTTATAAATAGAATTATATAATCGGATCATTTCTAATTATAGATCAAACTTTATCCTACCCCTAAAATTGAAGGGAAATGATAGGTTGATAAGAAGCGTAACACAGATGTTGATCCAGGAGCATGTCCTGGGTTAATCACATTCCCTAGTTTTATTTTTGCTCTAGATTTTGTTATTGGCCACATGGTTTTTCCTAACTCATCATCCCCTCCTGCTATGATAGGACACGTACCAGCACCACTGGCGGGAGGGGAACATGTCCTCAGGTGCCCGCTGTGAGGTGTGTCGTCGCACCTGCAGTTCTTCGGACACCCTGGCTGGCATGAGATGCGAGTGGTGTGGGGTTACAGTAAGTGTGTGGTTTTTACAGTTCACCCAATCTTTACTTGTCTTATCATTCAACGCTTTCAGTTTGCCTGTTGTCGGTTGTATTCATCACATAAACGGCTTCATTATTTAGTTATAAGAATGAAGGTGAGTTGGCTTTCAGACTGTCGTGTCTCACAATGAATCAATCTATTATTTAACAGGTGCAATGTAGGATGCAGCTCCTGTCAGCACTCACAACATTGTACTCCATTAAAGTTAAATGGGGGGGGGGTACCTTGCTGTGTTTTTATTCTTTTGCCATTTTGGCAGTGGATATTTTTTCTATTGTCTGGCCTGGTTTCTTGGTTTTAACATGGTTAGGTGCCACATTAACTTTATCAACTTCCAAAACCATTACTATGGCCTGAAATGGGAAAATTCCAAAATTGTTGAACATGTATGTACTTATAGGCTACCATTCAAAAGTTTGGGGTTGGTAAGGTTTTTTTTTTTTTTTTTTTAA